GCCTGTCTGTCTGCCTGCCTGCCTGCCTATTTATCATCTATCTATCTATCTATCTATCTATCTATCTATCTATCTATCTATCTATCTATCTACCTACCTACCTACCTACCTACCTACCTACCTACCTACCTACCTAATCTATCTAATCTATCTAATCTATCTAATCTGTCTAGTATTTTCCAGAGTATAAGACACACCGGAGTATTAGACGCCCCAAGATTTTGAAGAGGCAAATTTTAAAAATAAGTTTTTATACTCTGCAGACCTCCCAAAAATGGCCTGTTTTTTTGCAAAAATGGGCCCATTTTTTGTCAAAAAAAGGACACGAATAGCCTTTAGGAGGCTTGTAGAGTACTCCTGGGAGCTGGGGGGGAGGGGCAACAATGAGCCCCAAATGGCCCGTTTTTCGCTCATTTTTTCCCTCCCCAGCCCCCAGGAGCACTCTGGAAGCCTCCTAAAGGCTATGCACAGCCATTCTTGCAAAGGGGGAGGAGTTTCAGGAGGCCAAAATGCTATATTCAGTGTATAAGATGCACCCAGATTTCCCTCTTTTTTGAGGAAAAAAGATACTTCTTATACTCCGAAAAATACAGTGTGTGTGTTTCTGTGTGTGTGTGTTTATTTGTATGCCAGTTTTTATAAGCCAGCAGACTGGGTTATTCCAGTTGGTTTACTAAAATTATATCAATGTCTCCCCAGGCTACGCCTAGTTAAAAGAATAACTATTGGAGCTGAAATAACTCTCAGTGCTGGGTAAATAGCTAAGACCTTAACATGATGATTTGCAAGCATCCATCAGGAGCCTGTCCTATAATTTATTAAATTTTGTTTTCTTTCAAAAAACAAAACAAAAACCCAACCTGGACAAAACATATAAAAAGAATTGCCTATGTGAGATGCATTGGTTGTGAGAGTTTGTTGGAGAAATCACGCCCAGAAAGTACACAGAGATAACTGATTCTTTAGGATTCATTAAGTTATTTATATACATAATAACACATGAAGTAATATATATACAATGCCAAGAAGCAGGTTCTTCCAACATGGTAGAAAGTAGCGATTGTAAGCAGGTTCAAACATAGGCATGCTATACAGAGAATGAATTCCTTTTAGTTTCAGTTCAGAACTAAGCCACACCCAGTCTCCAAAATGTTTCAGCTCCCCAATTGGCTGACCTTGTTACTAAGCCTTATTCATTGGCTGACCTTGTTACCATGTCTCTGCCAGTTCATGAATATTCTGGCATTGGTGAGTTTATTTTTTTTCCCATAGAGACCCTGTGCTTGTGTTTTGGTTGTTAAATTAACTGGCTCTCCCACTACGTTCTTTTTAAAAGCTACAGCTTAGGCACCTTCAACTACAGGTCCTTGACTTACAACCATTGGGTTAGCGACCGTCTGAGGTTTACAATGGCTATGATCAAAGTTAGTAGGCCTGAGGGTTGATTCCTGGGAAAGTTCTACAGTAGCAAGTGAAACGATTCTCCACTCACTTAAGTGTATTGATACACAGCTCACAAAATTTATGAGGTTATGGTAGACTCTGTGAATCTCCTCATATTTTTTTAGGTGTGCAGAGAAGTTAAGGCAGCCAAATCAATTTAACTTACCTAACACATTTATTTTTAAGTAGGCAAGACTGTATCTTACCTTAATTTCTTCTTCACAACTCTTACCTTCTATTTGTTTGCTTACCTCCTATTGTTCAATAAATCAAGTTGTTTTGTTGGATTTTTGGAATTTACCGGCATTCCATTAAGTATTTGTTTTAATTCCTTTTAGCTGCAAAGCCGTTATCTGGATTGAAACCAGTTAACAGGTTTCTCTTCCAGCTTGGCTGTAAATCTTTGTTCTCCAGACATTTATTCCCTTATTTGGGATTTGGCTTTCTCAGCAGAAGGCTCGCAAGACATGACTCAGCTATATTTGTCCTTTGATTTCAGATAAGAATAAAGCACATGGAAATATTATTCACTGCACTACACAAAAGTCAATGCTTTTCCAAGTGAATGAATTCTTGTTCACGGTCTTGATGGGTCTAGGTGATGTAGGAAAAAGGCAGAGGGTGGAATCAAGGGAGCAATCAGCCTAGAATCATTATATTCCCACAGGCATTTTAAGTTCAACCCCTTTTGAATTCCATTAACACTTATCTAGTGCCAATTTAGTGCTGATCGCACAAATAGTCAATCTGCTTAACTGGAACTTAATGTTTGGTTCCTGATTCTTCATACCTGACAGGAAGGCACCTTCAGCTCTAAGGTTTAGATAAGAAATCAACTCCACATTAAAACTACTTGTATTAAAATTGACTATACGTCAGGGTTCTCATGGATGCCCTAATTAAATAATGAGCCTCAAGCCAAGTTTCAAAAGCAATCCAGTTATTTATTAGGAGCAACATGTTGGCACTACCCAAATGAAGCCAGCTCTGACCCCATGTAATGTACGGCCCAAGTGTGACCCTGTTTGCACATCTCCCACCAGGGTGTGTCATAAATCACATTCTCCAATGGAGCACTTTTGCGGGCTGTAGAGATCACACATCTCTACCTATTGCAGGTAACCTGGGAGACAGCCTTGAGAAAGATATGCATGGAATGTGCTTCTGGTTGTGGCTGCTGTGCTGCTCCAATCAGTTCTCCCCCCCCCCCCCCCCTTGCCTATGGCAACTCAAGAGCAGGCCAGGGATGCTTTGCGAGTTGACACTATAATTACAGAAGATTGCGAGTCGAATTATGTTTTACTTCCTCCATCTCTTATACTCATGTGAATTAG